GGGTGGGGGTGGGGGGAGGACCAGGGAGGATGATTCAACCACTCAACCACTAGATGTCGCTGAAAACAACAAATCCTACACACTGTGCCTTTAATTGTGGCATTTAGCTGATTAATATGGTGAATAATAGATGACAGTTGCACATGGCTGACGTGGTCTTGTTCAGCATTTTCTGGCTTTCCTCTTTACTCCAGTTGATGTCAGTGTTTCACGTGATTAAACATGTTTGTAGGGTTAGTGTTAGCTGCTCCATGCCGCCTTCCACCAYTGGGCTCACATGCGCACCTGATAGTGATAGTGTGTTTCACACCAAAAAAGGTCATCATATGGTTCTAATTATAGGAATTCCAAAGTGGAAAATATTAATTGTTGACAGTTTTACTGATGATTAATTGCACACGATACAATTTTGCCCCGCCCTGTAAGACGATAGAACGGAGCTCAGGATGTTCTGCTTGTTCTGTGCAGCTGGTGCTGACGGTGGGCCTGCTGGCTGTCGTGGTGTATCTCTACACTGTGGTGGCCTTCAACTTCTTCAGGAAGTTCTACAACAAGAGCGTGGACGACGACGAGCCGGATATGAAGTGTGACGACATGATGACGGTAAACAGAGGCTCGCTCAGACTCCCCTTCAGCTCGACACCATCTTTTTACTGAGTGTCCTGTTGGGTTTTCCCAGTGTTACCTGTTCCACATGTACGTCGGAGTGAGAGCAGGTGGCGGCATCGGGGATGAAATCGAGGACCCSGCTGGTGATCCCTACGAACTTTACCGCATCCTGTTTGACATCACTTTCTTCTTTTTTGTCATCGTCATCCTGCTGGCCATCATCCAGGGTAACTTTTTTCATTTTCACCAAGAAAGCTTTCTTTTTTTCCTAAGTATTTGTATATAAAAGCCTTAAAGTGCCTTAAAACCTTATCTACAATCACAAATACATCTTAAGATACATTCCTACATTAGGATAAAGTACACAGGATACTCTCACAAACATTTCTTTTTGGCTGCAGGTTTGATCATTGATGCGTTTGGRGAGCTGAGAGACCAGCAGGAACAAGTCAAAGAAGACATGGAGGTGAGAGGATGTTTGATTCTCATTGGGGGGGAGACAGAGAAACAATTTTGACCTTATTTGGTAGATTCTGGTGACTGTAACTGTGGACAGAGGTGCATTTATCTTTTACAGCATTATTATCTSACATAAGTGGGCTGGTTTGTGGACATTTTCTATTATTATATAGGTTTGGTACAATTTTTAAAATTATTGCCTTTCTGGCGTTTAAGCACTTCTCAGGACTCTGAGTGAGCAGAATTAGACCAAAGTCCACTTTCACTTTTTTCTGTGGGAACACAAATACCTAGCTTCTGTTTAAATGGTTAAGGGAGATTTTTTTTTTGAGAAATATATGAGAATGTAAAACATGAAACATGATTTTTAGTTTCACTGAGCCCARTTAAGCTGCCACAGCATCTGCAGGCTTAATGGTACCAATTGTGCTAAATGAACTCTCTGTTATGGGAAAAATCAAACCAAATTTGGCCAAACTTGATTATTGTAGYTTACACAACAAAGCTCAGATAGTCTAATAATATATCTTTTTTTTTCTGTCCTCAGACCAAATGTTTTATTTGTGGCATYGGTAATGATTACTTTGACACGACGCCTCACGGCTTTGAGACCCACACTTTGCAAGAGCACAATTTGGCCAACTACCTGTGAGTACAAACTCTAATAGGAATCACTGTGTTAATTTTCATTTTGAGGGGTGTTTATTTCAATGTTTTCGTTTTAAAATGTGGCACCTTTTTCCTGTAATTTCCCCACTCAATTGATCAAATTAACACATTAGCATCTAATAGCAGATAACTAGAAGCTGGAGATGTTTTTCTCCCCTCTCTGTGTGCGTCCCCTGCACTCCTGTGACCCTGTATAATGCCACCACCAACAGACCATCTGGGTCCATTCGCTCTCACAGTCAGCTGGCCAGTGGATGCGAGACGACCTCATTACGCCGCTTCATTATTTTTTAATGCCATGAACTTTATTGGAAAATAGGTTGTTTGTGAAAGCATGCTCTCACGCAGCATTCATCACGATTTGCCATGCTGCGACGCCCACGGAGCTACAGTGGCCCGTTGCCATTCACACTTGATTTAGGGAACAGCAGGTGACTCTGCGAAGGAGATGGACTCGTGTTACTTTGTTTAGACTCTTGCTTTAGAATTTGTGAAACTTCCTGGGAACACAGAATGTGACATTTACTTGACAAGTGTTGTGGGAATCAATTACGGCTTTTTCTGTTCTCGCCRTTCAATGCCTGAACTGTAGGGGCAAGTTTAGAATAAAACTGACACGCTGTGGCATTTTTTTTTCAAGGTTTTTTCTGATGTACCTCATCAATAAGGATGAAACAGAGCACACTGGTCAGGTAGAGTATTACTTCCGTTTTCTCCACTGTAACACTGTTCAGTGACAGGTCTGCTCTTTAGCTACTTTAACTAACTTTAACTACACAGACCAACTCATTAAACTGCTTAAGTCTTAACTCAAACCTTAAAGTTAACAGAGAGATTGAAGGGTTTTTTTTGTGTTAGCTTTACTTACAGTTTGAAACTTTGACACTATTATTCCAATAAAAAAGTAGACAATTTGAAACTTTGACACTATTATTCCAATAAAAAAGTAGACATTGGTTTTGGTTTGAAAAATGTATCAGTCATGTTCTCCAGCTATGAAACTACCTGTAATATATATATATATATATATATATATATATATATATATATGCATACGTATATATAAAGAATATATGTATATTTTTGATCACTCAAGGATACTATACTATTAAAACAAAATGTGTAAAAAAAACAATAATTAAGTCAAATACTAAAGTAGAAAGTACACCTGAATAAATTAAGAGAGATAGGCTGATATAAAAAATAGGGGTTTTGAAAAATAAAGGGTCATGATATTTCACCATTTTTGGCCATAGCTGTGACATATTGTAATGATGAAATGTTTGAACTCACCTGCAACAACGTAAAACTCTACAAAAGACCTAAATTAAAAGTATTATGTTACTATTGGAAGACATTCTTGAAAACAATTGAAGATCAGTTTTTCATACATTTTGTTCATAAAACTATTTGTCGTCACTTCAGTGGCGTCTCTAGAATTTTTTAATGGGGTGGCCATGGGGGCCACTGAAAATCTTGGGGTGGCACCAAAAGCAATAGCCAGAATAAAATTTCAGGACACTAATTATTTTTCATGGTTTTTTTTTTTTTTTTGTCTTTTAATCCCCACAAATAAAACTACAGACTGTTGTTGGACAAGGAGACCAAAATGCAGCAGATGATTTTGATTTGTACCAAATCAGTTAGCAGAGGTGTAGAAAGTGCTTAAAAGAAATAGCTAAGTAAAAGTAAAAATACCTTAACAGAAAATCAGTTTGGTAAAAATGAATTTCACTGAAGAAAAAAAGTATCAGAATCAGAATACTTTATTAATCCCTGAGGGAAATTACAGGTATTACAGCTGCAACCATTCAGATCAGAGAAATGTGAAGTACTTAAGTAAAAGTCAACAAACTTCTCACAATAATTGGGAAAGTTAAAGTTCACACTATAAGAAAAGAAGTGTTGAATTTATTTAACCAAACTGGTTCCACAAAACTGAGTTGTTTTACGTTTATTCAACTAGGCTTAGTGGAACCAGTTGACATAACTTCAGAATCAGAATACTTTTATGATCCCCGTGCGGAAATTGCAACTAACTTGGTTAAGTAAATTCAATAGAACACATAAACCAATCCTATCATGATGAGTTTAGTTGTATTTAAATTTATAGTGTGTAACTAGATG